AAATGTCAAAGTAAGACATTCTACATACAGGGGGAATGAAGAGGAGGGATGTGGAGGCCTCTGTGACCTCATCTACAGATGCTTAAACTGGCTCTTGGGATGTGTGATGTCACCTTGTTATGGGGGCAAGAGCCTGAGCTTGTACAGGACCTGGAGCTGTACTGTCATATAATCAGGCACACCTCGAGGCATAGCCTAGGTTCTGGAACCCAGCGTCTTAAGAGAGGCAGGACTCTCTTATTCTTTGGAGTGTCCAACAGGGAGAGGAGGAGGGCTGGGGACGCCAGCTTGTCCCTCCCTTTTAGCTGTCTCATGTTGGCATTTACCTCAGTACTTTTATCCTTTCACCTTCAGTGATTCCAACATTCTGCTAGGGGATTTCACAGACGATGTGGAAAACAACAGTGGCACCATGAGACGTATGATCTGGAGGAACGGACGCCCAGTTATGTACCCAAGTAGTATTTCTTGATTGGATTTCTTTGCAAGTCATGGCTTGTCCATAATAAACGCCATGTTCAAACGCTAAGATGTCTATCGGTGCATTAGTCACCAGGACACCCTAGGCCCAAGGTTGATGATTAATATAGTCGTAGCATTCGACCTCTTCCATTATATCTTTGTTTACTTTGGTGAATAGGGGGACCAAGTTGTCTACTGACCACCACCTGATAATGACTTGAATATGCTGGAACAGGTGGATGCAGGACAAAAAGTGTCTGCTGGGGAGCCCACTGCCAGGGATATTTTAAACTCCCAACTCCGGGAGAGCTGCTCTCAGATTCAAGTGGAGGCTGGGGACATGGAGGCTAGGGCACTGGGGCCAGAGCTGGTCTGCTATGAGGACAGGCAAATTTCCTCCTTGCTTTTGGCGGATGTTGTGGATCTGTTGGTTTACTCCTGCCAAGTTCTACAGCATAAACACGCCCCCCTTGCGGCTCCCTGGACCTTTTTAAACAATGTATGAAAATTTATTTTTTTGGTATGTTTATTTAACTCGTTGTGCAAGTCAAACAAACCTTCATTATGTTTTCCAATCATTGCCTGCATTTCTTTTTTGTAATGAGAGGTTGTCAAAAAATGAAAGTCATTTTGAAATGCATTTCCAGGGAAGATATGCTAAATATGCAGACGATCACCAAGATTGGAGTGAGAGAAAACATGCAATTGCAGAACTTCTGGATAAATTAGAAAAGAGCAAGGATAGTTTTGAGAGGTGGATTGCATCTCCAAACTCCACTACTGCTGCTAGTTTTGTTGCAAGCATGGAAAACCGTCCACGGATCGAACAGGTAATGCTCTGATACGCTTCCATTTTTCCCCAAAAAATTCTCAAAATAAAAGTAACACCATTGAAGGCTGGTGACAGAGGATATGGGATTTGGGGGATGGAAGTCAAGTCCTGCTTGGTTCCTCATGACTCAACCAACTCCTCCCAACAGAGACATGTTCTGCATTCATCAATGCAACAAAACCTAAACTGCATGGTGAAGCGGCGCGCAGTGATTTCCACGAGGTGAGAGTGTTCACTGCTCCTCCCTAACCTCATGCTACTATGTGGCATTTACTCCAGGCTAAACATTTAATTTGTATAGTGGGCTAATACACTTAGAGCCTGTATTGCCATACAAGGCTTATAGAAGACTTTTTTTTTTTCGGCTCCAGGCAGTATTTTTTTTTTTGTTTGTTTGTTTTTTTGGTCCAATATGGCTCTTTGAGCAGCTTGGGTTGCCGAACCCTGTTCTTGGTAGATCAAATTGGAGGAGGCCCAGACCACGGCCAAATACATGCCTGAGGGAATATGTTTTCAGCTGGCCTTGGAACACTTACGGTTGTTGGGGAGAGGGGACCAAGAGAATACCTTGCCAAGACTGATAAAGCCGCGACCTGGTGGTCCCA